AGAGCAGATGTTCTTTTGAGACTCTACTGAAAGTTGGACCGGACCCGTGTCCTTTGCATTACTATGAACTTCTCCATCCCTGTTTCACAGAAATCTTTCATTTTTTTTTAATGTGTTTAGTCATTTTTAATATATTTTAATATTTTATATATAACTCCCATTTGTTTTGTGATTAAGAAAGGAGGTATATGTATGTGTTCACTTCCCCATTCTTGACCCAGAGTCCCTCCACCATTTTTCCTACTCTCCACTTGTTTCCATGGCTCCCAAGCCTGGCATTGGTAAAACTACTGACAGGATAACCAGTCGCTACCAAATTAAATCAATAAATTATTCATACATACAGCATGATCTCATTTATATAAAATTCTACCATAGGCAAAACTATCTTATGATACTATAAATCAAATCAGTAGTTACTTCACAAAGGAGAGATTGAATATGAAAGGGGCATGAGGAAACTTTCTGGGGTGATAGAAATGGTTGGGTCTTAAGAAGCACTTGTCAAGTTTGATTAAACATATATTTAAGGTCTGAGCCTTTCACTCGGCTGTAAAATATACCTAAATTTTAAAAAAAGCTACAAATAGCCTGAGCCCGCGGGTTCAAGACCCACCTGGGCAGATGAGACCTCATCTCTACAATAAATCAGAAAAATTAGCCAGGCGTGGTAGCGCGCGCCTGTAGTTCCAGTTATGTGGAAGGCTGAGGTGGAAGGATCGTTGGAGCCCAGCAGGTCGAGGCTGCGGTGGTCGGGAGCGGCCACTGCACTCCAGGCTGGGTGACAGAATGAGACTCCAACTCAAAAAAAAAACTACAAATAGCCAGTAATCATAAGATATTCAGCCTCTCGGTCATCAGAAAGCAGCAGATAAAAACCTCAATAAAATGTCAGTACAGACTCATTAGAATGACTAGAGTTAAAAAAAACTGATAAAACCAAGTTTGAGTGAGCATGTGGAATAACTGAAATTAGCACTATATGGCAATGTGTACACAAATTGTTGCAAATATTTTAGAAAACTATTGGATCAAAACCACTAAAACTGAACACTCTATGACCCAGCAGTTCCACTCCTAAGCGTGTGCCCAACATAGCTACGTTATGCCAGATACATGTGCACAAATGTTTAAAGCAGTGTTGTTCAGAGTTCAAAAGTGGAAACAACCCAAATCTTAATCAGCAGTGAAACATTTAAATCACTGGGTGTAGAGAATCAGACAAAGGAATAATATACAGCAAAGAAAAGGAATGAAATACTGCTACAAGTGGCAACATGGGTGAATTTAGAAATAAGCAACTGAGCAAGAAAAGCTAGATATATCAGGATATAAAAAGTGTGGTTCATTTTTATAGATCCAGGAAGAAGGCAGAATGATTTCATGGTTTTAAAAGTCAGGGTAGCCTTTACAGTTTGGGAAGAGGGAGTAGTAGTAGGATGGACAGCAGGGATACTATGGCATGTACAAAACTTTGAAATTGTTGCAGAGAGCATTCAGTTTGCTGTAACTCACCCAGCTATATAATTATGGTTAGTGCAATTTTCTCTGTATATTATATGATAATACAGAGGTTATTATTATTTTCTAATTATATTGACACCCTAGCATAAGAAGAAGGGATAGTAACAACATAACAGCTTTAAATAAATGACTGAGCACCTGGGTTTTGCAATTTTCTGACAATTTTATTGCAAAGAAACATTTTTCCATTAATAACACAATTTACTATTAATTTTAATCTTTAAAATCTTATCTTACTTTCACAATTAACTTATTATAGTCACAAAATGTATTTTGTTGTGCACCAAGAGGGAACAGTTGAATGATAAGATATACTTTTGATTATATTGCCAAACTCCAGACATGTACTAGAGCCAGTAATTGATGGGTTATTAATTCTCACAATATCAGAAGAATATTTTAGAAAACTATAGCAGTATGGTTGACAGAACCTGTGTGTACTCATATTCCTTCTCATCTCAAAAAAAATGAATACGCATATCCCCTCCCCTACCACCACCAAAGGGGGTAAAAAAACACCTCCGTATTTTAAAGAAGTTTTAAGGCTTGGTAAACTACAGAGTGCTATTAGAAGAAATGTAAGGTGGTGTTGTAATGGAGGGATTGTATTAGTTTGCTTGGGGCTGCCATAACAAATTATCACAAACTGGGTTGCTTAAAAAACAGAAATCGATTTTCCCTCAGTTATAGAGGCTGGAAGACCAAGATCAAAGTGTCAGCAGGTTTAGTATCTCCTGAGGTCATTCTTGGCTCATGGATGGCTGTCCCCTCATGTGGCTTTTTTTTTTTTTTAACTCTACAGGCATATCCCTGGTGTCTCTTTTTCCTCTTAAAAGAACACCAGTCGTATTGGACTAGGGTCTACCCTCACAGCCTCGTCTACTTTAATTACTTCTTTAAAAACATCTCCAAATACTTCCGGAATCTCTATGCTGTTCCATTGGTCTATATGCCTGTTCTTTTACCAATACCAGACTATTTTTTGGTAGCCTTATAGTCAAGTTTGAAGTTTGGAAGTGTGATCAATTTCTCAACCAACTCATCTTTGACAAAGCCTCCAACAACAATCACTAGGGAGAGGAGAAAACATATTCAGTAAATGATGCTGGGAAAACTGACTGATCACATGCAGAAGATTGAAACATGACTCCTACCTATAACCATATACAAAAATTAACTCTAAATGGATCAAAGACCTAAACGTAAAACCTTAAACTATAAGAATCTTACGAAATTCAGGAGATACCCTTATGGAAATTGGAACTGGCAACCAATTCCTGATCAAAACCCTAAGTGCCCACACCATAAGAAATAAGATAGACAAGTGGGACCTCATCAAACTGACGAGCTTCTGCAAAGCAAAAGAAACCATCAAGAGAGCAGGGAGACAGCCCACAGAATGAGAAAAAATATTTGCTAACTGTATATCTAAAAAAGGCCTAACATCTAGGATCTACAAGGAACTCAAACTCACCAAAAAATAAAAAATAGAACAGTGCCATTAAAAAGTGGGCAAAAGACATGAATAGACACATCTCAAAAGAAGATATACAGGCGGCCAACAGACACATGAAAAAGTGCTCAGCCTCACTCATCATCAGAGAAATGCAAATCAAAACCACACTGAGATACCACCTAACCCCAGTAAGAATGGCCATCATTAATAAAACAAACAACAACAGATGCTGGCGAGGATGCGGAGAAAAAGGCACGCTTCTACACTGCTGTTGGGAATGCAAACTAGTGCAACCTCTTTGGAAGACAGTATGACAATTTCGGAAAGAAGTAGAAATTGACCTTCCATATGACCCAGCAATCCCCCTATTTGGAATATACTCAGAGGAACTCAAATCTTTCTACAAAAAAGATACCTGCACATGCATGTTTGTTGCAGCTCTATTCACAGTAGCAAAAACATGGAACCAACCATACTGCCCATCAAAGCTGGACTGGGTAAAAAAAAATGTACATATACACAATGGAATATTATGCAGCCATAAAGAAGGACAAACATATGGAATTTACAGCAACTTGGATGGATTTAGAGTCTACCATACTCAATGATCTATCACAGAAACAGAGAACAGAGTACCATATGTTCTCACTTATAAGCGGACCTTGAACAATTATCATAATACTATAAGAAAGTAGTGGGAACCTGCCAGGGGAGGGAGGAGCACACCTCATCAACAAGGGTACCTGCATAATGAACATTTGTATACCTAACCCTGAATTGTACCCCACATCTTTAAAAATAAAAAGAATTAAAACAAACAAACATTATCTCCAAATATGTTTAAATTCTGTGATACTGGGGATTGGCACTTCCACATAAGAATCTAAGGGGATAACAACTTAGGTCATTGTAGATCGTTATCCTATTTCTTCCATATATGATGCAGTAATTCTGCCTATGCTTAAAAACAAAATCAAGTTGGTGGTTCACACCTGTAATCCCAACACTTTGGGAGGTAGAAGCAGGAGGATCGCTTGAGCCCAAGAGTTCAAGACCCACCTGGGCAACAAAGCAAGACCTTGTCTCTCCAAAATACAAAAAAAATTAGTCAGGCATGGTGGCTCATACCTGTAGTCCCAGCTACTTGGATGGCTGATGCAGAAGGATCGTTTGAGCCTAGGAGTTGTGAGCCATGATTGTGCCACTGCATACCAGCCTGGGCAGCAGAATGAGACCCCCAACTCAAAAAAAAGAAAAAAAAAAAGAATACAGTGTAGCATACTCTTTTCTTCCTCATGCCAGAGGAATGCAAACAATTGAAAAAACGCCTTCCTGCAAGAATTGTATATAATTTAGAAATTGTATTGGAATAATCACAGGTTTAATTCTAAAATAGTTACTTAATATTCTCCCTAAAATAGCTGAAGTGGTTTTAAAAAAAAGTATAATTAAAATGGTCAGATTACCATATATTGCTGAAAAAAAATGTTCTAATACTGGAAATCTTTGTTAAAATCAGTTTATCTTGTTAGGTGGTAATTAAGAGTTCAAAATAATACAGTTTTTATAAATATTTATTACTTTAAAAAACTATATGAAATTGTTTTTCCCTCTACCTGGAATGCTTCTTTCCTTTCCCCTTTTGTTGCTTGTCTTAAAACCTCAGCTTTCTCAGAGAAGCCTATCTTGACTCTTTCCCCAATATGTAGTTGGTTCCCCCATCCTTTTCGTAGAACCTTTTATCTTAAAGGTACTTATCATAGTTAAAAATTATCTTTTTTATACTTATCTGATTAGCAACAGTGCCATCCACTAAATTTGAAGCTTCGTTGATTACAGAAACCTTGTCTTTTATGTTCACCCCTGTTGACCTGTACTTCCTAGCACTGAGAAAGCATTCAACAAATATTTGTAGAATGATTGAACCAACAGAATGTTTTAGACTACGACTAAATGTTTTATTTGGTTATAATTGTATGCCTGGAAAATTGGGCTAACTTCTATTTGTATTTCTGTCTAGAATGTGGCAGATCAGATTGCATTTCAAGTTGCTGGTGGATTAACAGCCATTGAACATATTCTTCAAGTAGTGGTCCCAACCACAAATGTGAACACAGTTTCACGAATCCCTCCTAAGTAAGTATAGTTCCTTAATCTTTCTTTTACGTTTCATTTGTGAGTCATTTCTGCCCTATGGTTTCCATATGGGAGACCACAAGAAAATTGTATGTGTATATTCAGGGTTGGATAGCAAAACCTTACACTCTCCATTAGGGAGGAAAACAGAGGTGCTCAACTTCGCTTACAAAATTCAAATGGTGCCTAAAAAAACCTTATAAAGGAAATCTCTTTGGTCTGTGACCTGCTCTAGTCCTAAGCCAAGAAGAACTGATGAACTCCTAAGCAATTCTAACTGCTCCCAGAAATTGAACAGAAATGAATAGTAGTAACAGAAAGCTAACTTTTGTGTCTCATGTGAAAAAAAGGGAGGGGGAGGGGTAAATACAATTTAAAAAGGCCCAAACTGTGAAATATGAAGAAGTTCCTAACATACAGGAAAAATAGTTAGAAGCCAAGATTACCATACTCTAGAGCTCCAGCCAAATTTCTGGGAACTGAATTGCACTTTGGTCTTTAATTGTACATTGCTCTCTGTCATAAGGATCCTGTGCAGCATTTAGACCTAATATCTGCTTTCCTGTTCCTTCAAGTCACCTTTCAACCCCTGGCCACCTGAGATATAGTAGCAGAAGTATTATTTAAGAAATATTGTGGGGGGGGAGAAGTATTATGTTTCTGGGTTGTAATATATAGTTTCTGAATGTTCTGTGGAGACTCTTATTAAATGAGAGGTTTTAATAAAAGTTCATTTACACCACAGAGAAAACTTTATAATATTTAATTAGCACAATAAAAGCGAATGCTTCAATTGTCCATTGGATACAAGAAAAATATTCCTGGAATATGTTTTGTTTTGTTTCTGAGAGACATTTTGGTAAACTAGAAATAGCATTGGCTTTGGAGTCAGACAAACCTGAGTTCTAGTTTTACCTCTGCCAGTTACTAGCTGAGAGAATTTAGGCAAGTGCGTCAATCTCATTACATCTGTGTCATTATTTGGAAAAATAGAGGTAATCATATCTACCTCACAGTGCTACTGTAGGGATCAGTTGAAATAATATATGTAGAGCTCTTTGTAAACTGTAAAGTGTTCTATAAATGTTACGTGAGAATTTTGAAAGTAGTAGTCTTGCCTAGTTTAAGACAGTGCTGTTCACTTGACATGAGCAATTTCTAAGTACAGACTTTTGACACTAAAGTTAACTTGGGTTCCTTTGCTTTACTGACAAAGTAGAGATTATTAAAGGAAGGTGTAGGCATTCTTTAAGTCAGGGAATCTTTCTGTGAAGCAAAAAGCTCCCCATCAGGCAGTTTTAGCATACACAGATATTTTCCTAATCCAAAAGAGTTGGAATTTCTTATAAAAATCAACTTTATTTACAGGATGTTGCTGGAAATGTTGTCATCACTCATTGTATGTTAATTGTCGGGGAGAAAGGTATAAAACACATAATAAATATTTGACATAAGAAAGGAAATGGTATTTGATTCTTTGGGACAGTGCTTCAATAACTGTTAAGAATTCACATTGTTCATCTTAAAAGCACCTAGTGGTTTTTTTGATTGTTTAATTCCTTGTTTGTTTTGTTTTCTGTTTGACTTCAGCAGGCATGACACTGAGCTCTCTGGCTGGTAATCTAGATTAAAGACCTGTTTCTTCAAAGCTACTTATTGTGGTAAAAATCATGTTGTTCTGGTACTTATGGATGCCTCTCGGAAACAGGAGAGGTATCCACAGTTCCCAAAAAGACCTAAGCAAAGATTAGCAGCACACTCCCTTTGGAAAGGAGCCCTGGAATCCTGAGAGTTCAGGTCAATGCCCTCAGCTGGTCGGTACCAGTTGACCACAGGGCCAGGAGTAAGAGTTCGTTCCTTCATCTCACTTTATGTCAATACATGTGTGTTTTCAACCAGTTATTTCTCACTGAGTGAGGCCAGCACCCAGGACTGTATACATCTAGCACTGACTCTAAGATTCCCCATAGAGCACAGCCTCAAGGTCATATCTCTACTTTCTAAACCAACCTCACTTCTTAGGGCTTAAAGGATTAAAGCCATGAGAGTGTAAATACTGTTTACTCAGAGAAGGGCAAGAAGAATCCCACAACTATTTCAGATTTTGATGTTGAATCAGAACATAGTGGTGGTCATGAGTCATCAACTTAAATTAAAAAATATCCTTCCTCGTTTTCCTTCCAGCTGCTGTCCTGCACAAATACCTGTCCTGGCCTTGGATGTTCCATGGTCCCTGGTACCCCCTTTCTCATCAGCCTGTCCAGACCCTCCCTTTCCATCCCTCATGAGTCCTCCCTCAACTCCGTGAACCTTTGCCACCTTAGTTCATGCTGTTTCCTGCCTCCGTGGCATTTCATGAATCCTACCTAGAGAGTCTAGTTTAGAATCTCCTGGTTAATTTTTCTCAATGATAGACAGAAGATTTGAGAAGTTTGCGCCACTGTCTGATAACAGTGACCATGTTGAAACCTGGAGTCCTCTGACCGTCAACCTGATGTGTCACTGCCCCTGCAGGGTGACTGAGAATGGGTCAGTAAATGAGCTCCCTTCTCCCCTTTTTACATTTTTTCATGGAACCTCTTCCCACTCTATATAGTACCTCAGTGGTTATATGCCTTGCTTTAACCTATAATTACTGCTAGATAACTTCCTGGACAGGCTGATGTGAATGTCTATTTGCTTCTAGCAGCTTTTTTAAAATGTGAAATTGAGAATTATGCCTGCTTCTGGAAATTTAACTTTTTGAAACCTTTCCGAGTTAGATCCGGGCTTAAATCTTGGCTTTTCACCTATTAGCTGTGTGACCTTAAGCCAAATACTTTTTATCTTACCTTAATTAAATGGTAAGATGAATACTTACCTTATAAAACTTATATAAGGATAAAAAGTACACGCGTTTAAGTCCCTGCATAAAGAAAACAGTTATTATCACTGTTTTTTGTTGTAGTTGTTATTGTTTTGACTCCATATCATACTGCATAATTACTGAGCTTTAAATCCCTAAGTCTTTGTCACTTTGGCTTCTAAGAAGCTATAAGCTATTGATTTTACTTAATTACTTAATTTACCCAGCTATTTACTTAATTTACTAGGGTTTTGTTGTTGTTGTTTAACCCTGAAGTCAAACTTTATTCTGGTAAATTTTTACCTAGTCTGTCAAGATTCTTTTTGGATTCTGATTTGGCTTCTAATTTTGTTTCATTTTCTTTAGCTTTGTGCCAGCCCTAAAGTTGATTTGTAGAACAAATGTGTCTTTATCTAATCATTGAAAAAATACCAAACAGGTTATAAAATAGTTTGGTTTAACACTTTATTATGCATTGTCTCTCCAAATACTCCATCTGTTGTACTCACATCTCCCCGAGATTGTAATTCCTTGGGATCAAGAGACGTAGGAAATACATTATTTGTAAATCATATGACATCTTTGTCAATATTGTTTGAATATATGAATGAATTTTTTCTCCCAGAGATGAAAGTAAGGTAGTAAAAGAGCACACTGCATCAAATACTTGACTCTGTGGACTTAAAACGGGATCACAACTTAGCTAATTTAAAATCCTCTGTTAGAAGATGAATTTTAGGCAGTGGTTTTGTTAAATTGTCTTGAAATTTCTGTGAATCTGTGTGTCATGTATCTGTGACTGCTGCTTACTCAAAAGACCAAAGAGAATGCTAGAACTAAATTCTTAGTCATTGTTCTTATCACAGTTTTAGAATCAGAGCACACCAGTAGGTGTAAGATTGCCCCCATTTTAATCTATGAAGAAAAATAGGCCTGTCCCAGTGCCATGACCTTTATAAAGTATACCTGCTTATTTATGTCAAGCAAATTAACAAAGTTGCTTTTTTACTTCTTTATAATTTATGCATGTATCTGCCTACAGTAAATCAGTCCTGCTCTGGTAAAACAGTAGTCATTGAATATAATTAAAAAGTCAATTTAGAATGATGTGAAGTGGAACTTTGCTCACTAGGCAGATCATTTATAATAAGATATCACAAATTTATTCTCCAAAGTAAAATAAAACTTGTGACTTTATGTAGTTTTTCTACTTAGCAGTATTGCATTTACTAAATCTTCTGAGTTGGTAAGGAGACAGAAACTGACATTTAATTGTGTCCTTGGTGCCAAGCACTGTGCTAAATGCTCTGTATTTATTACCTTGTTACTCCTCACAGTCACCAGCAACCATGTATGTGGCCCACTACCAGTGAGGTTGAGAGCAATCGCCTTTGGGGTGTGACTACAACCTGAGAGAGCCATGGTATCCCTTGTGAAAGAGTGTTTATTCTTTCCAAATGGCAGAGAGCATTTTCAGAATCGCTCTTCCATAACTATTGAAGTTTGTCCCCAAAACCTTCTGTTTCCTTCTCTTGGCCTTGCATAGAGACTGATGCAGTTCATCTTGTGATAGAAAAGAGATATCCCATTGTGTTCCAGAAGCAGGGGTTTCCAGTCCTGATACCCAGAGAAACTCTTCCCTAGCAATTCCCTTCTTAGGATCAGTTGTGGGCTTGGTAATGGGATTGCTTCACCTAGGAACCATTTGAAACAGACCCTGTCCTCAGGGAGCTTGGCAGTCATGGAAACAAGATGTATTAAGCTCGAAATATTATTATTAGTAGCCTACTGTGTTTCTTTAGTGGAATAGCCACCCTGGTAGTATACACAGGACTCCATCAAAGGAATGTTTTGTTACATATCCTGTGTCTGTAAACCTAGTTTCCTGAGATTCCTGGCTTCATGTGCTTGCTTCTTATTACAACCACTTGACTCACTGGGCTGGTATCTTTGAGGCTTGTCTGTTATTATTAAGTCTTTATGTATATCTTCTGTTTGCAACATAATCCATCCAGACTTCTAGAATTTTCACTATGAATTTCCTTCCCTGCTACCTTTTCTTCTCTCTTGGCTTGCCATAATCACCTCTGCTCCCTTCCTATTTGTTGTGTTCTCCTTTTATCCCCCAGGGTTTTAAGAATACACTTGTGCCAGG